CATTACCTGACAATGGGTGCAGTCTAAAGACTCTACTTTATGTTCTGATGTTGGTAAATCTGTGAAGAATTTCAGTATTGCTTCTTTCCCTTTCAAATTATTTCCATTCCATGTTGCCTCCCCAGAGTCTTGGTATAACTTAGTTAGTAACTGAAACACCAGTGAAACATATGGCGAATTTTGTTTTACAGTGAAAGTTAACATGGGCAAATAGTAAATCAATATATTGGTATAGAAAAATCATAGATTCTTTTTTTATTATTTTCCTAGGCATATGATGCTGGAGGGTCAAGGGTATCCCAAACAGCACCTTACAATTTCATTTCATGTATAATTGTAAATTGTATACAATAACAAGAAACAACAAGATATGTTTGTAAAACATGTATGCCCCCTATCGGCAGCCAATTAGTTATGTGATCAGTTTAATATGCATGACTTCTGACCCAGTGAACAAACAATTAATAAGGGTTATCAGTTATCTATTATCTACTGGTCATGACTAGTCACAAGGTAATAAGCAATTTAAGTTATTACAAATCTTACCAAATAATATATGCATAAATTTTATGAATCATGTAGGCCTCATTAATGACAGCCAAGTTGTTATATTACATAAGACCTTCAAATGTGTATACCAAAAGCATTTTTAGTTTAATATAAAAATATCAACCAAGGCAACTTGAGTTGTTGAGTTATTGGTCAGAAACCGCCATCATCTGCTGGCCATGACCAATCATCATACTAAGTTTGAAGTTTCTAGGCCTAAGCGTTCTTTAGTTATTGATTCGAAACCGTTTTTACCTACACGGTCAATGTGACCTTGACCTTTGACACCTTGACCCAAAAATCAATAGGAGCCATCTGCTGGTCATGACCAATCATCATACCAAGTTTGAAGTTCCTAGGCCTAAGGGTTCTTTAGTTATTGATCGGAAACCGTTTTTACCTACAAGGTCAATGTGACCTTGACCTTTGACCCATTGACCCTAAAATCAATAGGGGTCATCTGCTGGTCATGACCAATCACCATGCCAAGTTTGAAGTTGCTAGGCCGAAGCTTTCTTTAGTTATTGATCAGAAACCGTTTTTTACGTTTTTACTTACAAGGTCAATGTGACCTTGACCTTTGACCCCTTGATCCCAAAATCAATAGGGGTCATCTGCTGGTCATGACCAATCACCATACCAAGTTTGAAGTTCCTAGGCCTAAGCGTTCTTTAGTTATTGATCAGAAACTGTTTTTACTTACAAGGTCAATGTGACCTTGACCTTTGACCCCTTGACCCAAATTCATTAGGGGTCATCTGCTGGTCACGACCAATCATCATACAAAGTTTGAAGTTCCTAGGCCTAAGCGTTTTTAGTTAATTGATCGGAAACTGTTTTTACCTAAGAGGTCAATGTGACCTTGACCTCTTGACCCTAAAATCAATAGGGGTCATCTACTGATCATGACCAATCACCATATCAAGTTTGAAGTCCCTAGGCCTAAGGGTTCTTTAGTTATTGATCGGAAACCGTTTTTACCTACAAGGTCAATGTGACCTTGACCTTTGACCCCTTGACCCCAAAATCAATAGGGGTCATCTGCTGGTCATGACCAATCACCATATCAAGTTTGAAGTTCCTAGGCCTAAGGGTTCTTTAGTTATTGATCGGAAACCGTTTTTGCTTACAAGGTCAATGTGACCTTGACCTTTGACCCCACCCCAAAATCAATAGGGGTCATCTACTGGTCATGACCAATCACCATACCAAGTTTGAAGTTCCTAGGCCTAAGGGTTCTTTAGTTATCACTCGGAAACCATTTGGTCTACGGACCGACGGACCGACAAGTGCAAAGCAATATACCCCCTCTTCTTCGAAGTGGGGGCATAATAATATAAGATACAAATTTGGGACACTACTTCTTACAATGAACAGAAATGGAATTTTCCCTAATAGGAAAAAAATCATGGCTTTTATAAAACTATTCATTAGTTAAGTTTGAAATTGACAAGTTCATAAAAGCAATGTCAAAATGATCTACACCCTGCCTTTATTTAATTTACGTTTTGCCAGTAACTCAAGAACAAAATGATACAACCTTTCCCCTGTACAGACATAATCACTATGGGTAATGATGCAGGTTTAAAGCAAAATGCCTCCAGATTAATGCTAATAATTTTCATGAAAAATTTTGAAAATGTTTTTAGAAGTAAAATTTATATGTGGAGTGAACAAGGAAAATAATCTAAACAATGCAAACAGCACTTACAATCCACATCTATTACAAGAAAGAAAGGTCAAAATATGCAAAAATACTTCTTACTGTGTTAGTCATGCAGTAGAAATATTGTGATAAATACTGCAAGATCTGTAATTAATCCCACAAATCATGTAAATAACAAGATATGTTTGTAAAACATGTATGCCCCCTATCAGCAGCCAATTAGTTATGTGAAAAGGTTATTATGCATGACTTCTGACCCAGTGATCAAACAATTAATAAGGGTTATCAAGTATCTACTGGTCATGACCTTAACCTTTGACCCCTTGACCCAAAACTCAATAGGGGTCATCTGCTGGTCACGACCAATCATCATACAAAGTTTGAAGTTCCTAGGCCTAAGCGTTTTTATTTAATTGATCGGAAACCGTTTTAACATACAAGGTCAATGTGACCTTGACCTTTGACCCCTTGACCCCTAATAAATAGGTCATTTGCTGGTCATGACCAATCACCATACCATGTTTGAAGTTCTTAGGCCAAAGGGTTCTTAAGTTATTGATTTGAAAGCATTTTTACCTACAAGGTCAATGTGACCTTGCCCTTTGACCCCTTAACCCCAATATCAATAGGGGTCATCTACTGGTCATGACCAATCACCATACCAAGTTTGAAGTTCCTAGGCCTAAGGGTTCTTTAGTTATTGATCGGAAACCGTTTTTACCTAAGAGGTAAACGTGACCTTGACCTTTGACCCCTTGACCCCAAAATCAATAGGGGTCATCTACTGATCATGACCAATCACCATATCAAATTTGAAGTCCCTAGGCCTAAGGGTTCTTTCGTTATTGATCGGAAACCGTTTATACCTACATGTACAAAGTCAATGTGACCTTGACCTTTGACCCCTTAACCCCAAAATCAATAGGGGTCATTTGCTGGTCATGACAAATCACCATACCGAGTTTGAAGTTCCTAGGCCTAAGGGTTCTTTCGTTATTGATCGGAAATAGTTTTTACCTACAAGGTCAATGTGACCTTGACCTTTGACCCCTTAACCCCAAAATCGATAGGGGTCATCTGCTGGTCATGACCAATCACCATACAAAGTTTGAAGTTCCTAGGCCTAAGGGTTCTTTTGTTAATGATCAGAAACCGTTTTTACCCAAGAGGTCAATGTGACCTTGACCTTTGACTCCTTGACCCCAAAATCAATAGGGGTCATCTACTGATCATGACCAATCACCATGCCAAGTTTGAAGTTCCTAGGCCTTAAAGTTCTTTAGTTATTGATCAGAAACCGTTATTGCTTACAAGGTCAATGTGACCTTGACCTTTGACCCCTTGACCCAAAAATCAATTGGGGTCATCTACTGATCATGACCAATCACCATACCAAGTTTGAAGTTCCTAGGCCTTAAAGTTCTTAAGTTATTGATCGGAAACTGTTATTGCTTACAAGGTCAATGTGACCTTGACCTTTGACCCCTTGACCCCAAAATCAATAGGGATCATCTACTGATCATGACCAATCACCATACCAAGTTTGAAGTTCCTAGGCCTTAAGGTTCTTCAGTTATTGATCGGAAACCGTTTTTGCTTACAAGGTCAATGTGACCTTGACCTTTGACCCTTTGACCCAAAAATCAATAGGGGTCATCTACTGGTCATGACCAATCACCATACCAAGTTTGAAGTTCCTAGGCCTTAAGGTTCTTTAGTTATTGATCGGAAACCGTTTTTGCTTACAAGGTCAATGTGACCTTGACCTTTGACCCCTTGACCCCAAAATCAATAGGGGTCATCTACTGGTCATGACCAATCACCATACCAAGTTTGAAGTTCTTAGGCCTAAGGGTTCTTTAGTTATCACTCGGAAACCATTTGGTCTACGGACCGACGGACCAACGGACCGACGGACCGACAAGTGCAAAGCAATATACCCCCTTTTCTTCGAAATGGGGGCATAATTACTTGAATCTCTTTACTTTTATCAAAATCTTAAGTTTGATTTTCTTGAAATATCTGATCTCATCTGGAGGCATGCAGCTTTAATGAATATCATACAGATGTTACATACTGCACAGTGATTCTATCAACTATTAAAACATATACATGCAGGTTCTGCAAGTCATTTAAATGGAATGAATATACATGACTAAATTCATTAACGACGGAATTGTCTTAAACATGAACTGTACATGTTCTAGCCAACTCTGTGAAATATCAGCTATCTTAAAGGCCCATTAATCCCCAGAAATGCTTTTATTTTTCTTTCTAACAAGCTTTTTATTTATATTGCCCTGATATAGTTTCCAAAAAGTTATTCATTTGTCAAATCCCCCGAGAACCATCTTTTGTTGCTGTAGCTTTTTGGCAATTAGTACAGTTATATTTATTTTATATGGAAGTCAAAATACTATTTTGTTTACATTTTACTACATTAATGATGAACCAAATCTCATATGTTTCTATTTCTGTAGGTGATAAGCATCTAATATGCCTAATAAACATTAATTAAGTTATAAAATTCATCTTTGCTCTTTCTAAAAGAAGGAAAAAAAATTCCAAGGCATAAATGTGCCTTTAATATTTTAATAATGTAATAAATTAATGATAATAATCCTTTAATGTCTAGCAATGATGGGACAAGTTCTCCCCAATTTTTGGGGTAGAAATATCTGATCCTTACTTCTGATACAGGTAACTATTGTCTTCTATTATAATAACTATGTCAACTGAGTAAATCATTATATCTTAAATACCTTTATAAAACAGAAACATGTCCAACCCACTAACAGAAACAGTATAAAGATAATTCTTTGCTGGGTATTCTGATATTAACTTAGTTTATCATTCTCAAACAATCAAATAAAATATATAAATGGCTCAAGTTAAAATTTGTGGAATTTATAACAACAAAGGAATTTAGCTTTAA